AAAAGCATGAGGAAAATATGTAAGCTACTGTAAATCAACAGAATGCTCACTATTGACAGGAAAAAAACTCGCCTGCCTCCTTCATGGGAATGTATACAGATCATTATTTCCCGAGTCTAAAAAAATCAAGAATAGAAAAATAGAAAATAAAACACGCTGATACAAAACTGCAGACCTCTTATTTTTTATTTTTTTTTTTTTTTTGCCTGTGAAATGTAAAACCACATCATCTACCTTGCTATATGAATAATCTGCAGCCCCAGACCATTTTCCACTTCAGGAAAAAAAAAAAAAAGCCATTAAAGAAAACCAACTTTAAGGTTAAGGGGAAGCAGCACTATCAAAAGTGCAGTTAGTCATGTATTTTTGTTTCCAGTTACAACAATGTGCAGTTCCTGGAATGCACATGCAGGCACATTTCAAAACTCAAACAGAGGAATGAGGCAGATCTATGTCACAGACCACAGGACACCAGGCTGTACTTCCCTAAAGCAGCCTGACCATAGGTTAGGTGTAAATAGGTAATAAATAGATCTCTTTACAGCCCTGGGGACTAGTGTGGGACAGAGCTACTTAGGCAGAAAATATGGAAAAATGAGCCCAGGAACAAACCAGAGATGAGGATGGAGAAATGAAGAAGGAAATTAGTAAAGAGAAGAGGTAAGAATTAGTAAAGGAGGGGGTTGGGGAAGCAGCTGGTACTAAAATACTGATTTTCTTGGGAGTTTTAGAAGCTTGGAAAAGGGGTCACAGGGACTGGTAAATCATGGGAAACTTCTACAAATACTGTGTGCTGTGGAAAGAATCATTTGCTTCTTTGTGCCAAGCCACTCCACAACACAAAGGTTTTTGAAGCTGCAGCCATGTTTTACTTGCAACATGCACAGATTTGCTAGAAAAGCAGCTTTTAGTATGATGCGAGTACAAAGATAATTTTCATGTTAGCGTGTTCCTTGCAACCCATATTTAAAATCCCAGCCACAGTGATTTTCCAGCTTCGGAATGGGAGGTAAAAAGCGGATTCTGGCAGCAGTCATAGTGTTAACTTCTTTTTTGTATGTTAGGTTCCTGATACTCTGGTATTTCAGTATTAACTTTCATAATGAGGAAGCACTAAAGTAATTCTGCATTCACGTAAGAGTCTACATACCATAGTTACATTTTTATCAGTTTCATGGTAACAGGCATTTGGTCGTGTCTAATTAGAAAAATATACAGATTCTGCCTGCAAAAATTTACACTTTCTAAAGAAACTAAACCCACAGACTGTTCAGAAACAGCATCTTGGCACGGTCCTTTTCATCTCTTCTAACTGCTAAAAGGAGTTTTCTGCTCAAGCAATAAATAAATAAATAAATAAATAAATAATAAAACAGTGCACCATGACAGGCCAAAATCCTCTCACGCACGACCCTCTTTGCAGTACTGGCAAGAAGCTGGTGTCACTCTCCTGGTTTTAAAGAAAGAAAGAAAGACCTGAAGTTGTAGGAGGCAGTGCTTGGAAGAGGTGATAACCGCTCAGGGGCAACATGCAGGAGTCACTGCCTTGATGATGCTTTTCATGTCACCTGCATTCCAGGTCCATCTGCTTGGGAATCGTTACTGTGTACTTTATTGCCATTTGTCTATTTTCTTTTCTATAGCACTGCCAGTTCGGTATGGCACAAAGAACTGAGCACACAACACAAATTATGATTATGCAGAGCACAGATGCAGAAAGTTAATTCACTGTCTTGAGGTTCTGACTGAAAGCTTGCAGGGTTGTCAGCCCTGGCTCCACCACAGGCCTTCCCGGTGAAGGTGATGCCTGGCACATTTGCTGCAAGAAATACAGAGTCAGGTTCATTAATGGTTGCAGAAACTGTAAGTTAGACACCTTCAGCTTCACCTAATTGCTGACAGCTTGTTTTGCAACATCTAATTTTAAAAAAAAATCATTGTATATGTAGTGTGTATTATATATAGTTTAGCATTCATGTAAGTGTTAGTGGTCTAGTCAAGGCTGGTCACTGCATGAGGGTCACCAGCAAACATTAAAATCCTGCTTTCCCAGCTCACTCGGATTAGCTAGAGTGCCCTCTCCTTTGGGCTCTCAAACTTCTCCAATGAAGGGAGGCATTTAAGGAAAAAAAAAATCAGGAAAGAATCAAGTGATTACACAGGGCAAAAAGTAAATTAAAGGGATAGCATGTGAAAGTAAAAGGGTCAAAAAATGCAAAAAAAAAATGGGACCTTGGGAGGGAAACTAGGAAACTACAGCACTGTGCATGGAACCCATTATTTCCTGAAGATACCAGTGACCCACTTAAGAGAGTTAATGTGGCTGAGGAGAAACAACAAGCTCCTGACATACACCAAGAGAGGAGCCTCCTATAACAGGCTGTGAGGTCTCTTGGTTTGGCTCGGTACAACTGATCTTATTTTTATTAGAGTCAAGAAACAGTGAGCATATGTCACCAGAGCAAGAAGCATCAAAGAACACGTGGATCCGGCAGTAAGCCGTAAGCTTTTCTCATAATCCAACAGAGGGAAAAAGATTAAGTTTCTCTCCCTAAAGGTGCCTGTATTAGGGAAGGATGAATCATCCTTTGGTAGCACCTGTCTTTTGTGTTTGTAGAGGAAGATTCAGGGTGGATGCTTAATTTTTACATGGTTAAAATTAGATGAGATTCATCCCTTGAAAGTTGTTTTAATAAACCTGGAAATTACAGCTGTAATTGTGGTAGGCAGATACCACAGTAGAGATAAGCCCACACAGAAGCCCTGAGTGTTCCTGTACTGGAGCCAATTTGAAAAGACTGTCTTAGACGTGGGCAACACAGTAGCTGTTTTGAGGGAAGAATCATAGAATCACAGAATGCTCAAGGTTGGAAGCGACCTTGAGAGAACATCTAGTCCAACCCCCTGCACACGCAGGGTCACCTAGAGCATGTGGCACAGGGCAGGATCCAGGCAGGTTCTGAAGACCTCCACAGGAGACTCCACAACCTCCCTGGGCAGCCTGTTCCAGGGCTCTGCCACCCTCACTGTTAAGAAATTTTTCCTTAAGTTCCTGCAAAACTTCTGGTGCTTCATTTTGTGGCCGTTTCCTCTAGTTCTGTCGATGGCCACTGCTGAGGAGAGGCCGGCTGCTGGAAAACGGGCTCAGTTCAGAGGGAACGGGCAGAGCTGCTGGCCTGTTGATACAACAGCAGCCAGGCGATTTCCTACGCCCTGTGTGGAAGCAGCAGCCGGCTGTAGCTGTGCCTGTCCTTAGAGGACGGAGGAGACGGCCTGGGCCGCGGCTCTCCGAGCGCCCCGGGTAAAGGACGGGCTCTGTTGAGGCCTGCACCTGGGTAGCAGGCGCGTGACACACGCTCCCAGCGAAGCCACGTGCTGCCAGGTCTGCAGCTCGCAGGGAGGTTTATGAGGAGGGCGGCAGCCGTGAAGCAGCTGATGGGCTACGCGGGGCGCACTTGGCTGGCAGCATTTACTCAGCGTGCCATCATCGGTAGGCTCTGGTCTGCATTTGAGCACCGTCTAGATGGCTACAAAGCAAAGGAACAGAATGGCCTCCAGTATAATGGACTGTCCTCAACAATCAGGCAAAAATACAGTAAACACGGAACCTGTTCCTCTATGCAGAAAATGTTGCCATGCTAACCACATGGATACCCAAACACATGCACCCACAAAGGTTTTCTCCTCAGTACAAAATCGTGATCACCAGAGATGGCAGTGGGCCCTGAATCAAACGTTTTTGGTGCGCTTTGTGCACACAACAAGCAGACAGGCATAGAGGCGCTGCTGCACCGGGCACCCCAGGCCCAGCAGCCCAAGGGGGCGCAGCCACCCAGGGCCCCCAGCGCCACGCCCGCCCCGCGGCCCCGCCCCCAGGCGCCTGCGTCAATGCAAATGAGCGGCGCGGCTCCACCCCTCCCCGCAGGGCGGAGCAGAGCGGCGTGCCCGCGGCGGGAGGAACCACCGCGCGGGCCGCCCCCGCTGCCCGCGTCCTGAGGCGGGAGCGCGCGTGGCGGCCGCACCGTTTCGTTCGCTGTGCTGGCAGACACCGCCGCGCGGCGCCGCTCAGCGCCGTCCCCGCGGGGCGCGCGGGCAGGACAGCGCGGCACTCAAAGGCTCCCAGCTCCCCCCCTCCCCCGCAGCGAGTAGTCGCGCCCGCCGCACTCGGCGGCCAGGCGCGCGCGGCCGTTGCGCAAGAGCCGTGGGGCGGGGCTCTGCATGCATTATTCATGAGGGGCGTGGCGCCGCGGCGCATTTCCAAGGTCGGGCGGGCAGGGGGGCGGGGACTGTGACGTGGCAGTGACGAACGTTCCGCCGTTCTTAAAGCGGGTGGCGGCCGGCGCCGCGCTGGTAGTGGGGGCGGGGCGGCGGCGCTGCGCGGAGCCGTGACAGCTCCGTCGTGCCGGTCCGCGAACCGTCCTGCCCAGGCCCGGCCCGGTGGTGTAGCGAGCGGCCGCCATGGCGGCGGCGGGAGCCGTGCGGCGCCGCCCGCGCTCATCTAGCGAGGGCCGCCTGTGAGACAGCGAGGCCTGCCCGACCCGGGGGGGGGAGCGGGGCGTAAATGACCTTTGGGGGAAAAAACGCTGAAAAGAGCGTCGCTTATTGCCCAGAGCGTGGCGGAGCTGGCTGCGCGCAGCAGCGCTCCATTCTAGGCGGGGGCGACAGCGCCTGCCCCGGCCTCGCCGCGCACCCGCGGCCTTTGTCCCGTCGGCGCTGCGGGGAGGCGGCCCCGCGGCTGCGGAGCCCCCTCTGCCCCGGGGGACCCGGGCCGCGAGCCCCCAGGGACGGCGCCCGCCGGCCCCGGGGCGCCGTTGCGGGCAGGAGGCGGCGGCTACGCCCGCTCCTTGTCCTGCCTGGCAGCGGCCGCCGCCTCTCCCGCCTCCTCCTGCCCCTTCTCGCCCGCTGTAACCGGTTCCTCCGGCAGCGGCGGCGTGTCCGGTGCGTCGCCGCCGCCGCCCTCCCTGTTCCTGCCGGCGGCCGCCGCTGCGCATCACCCAAACATGCAGGATGAGCTGCTGCTGGGGGTGACACAGCAGCGGGCAGGCGGCGAGAGGCTGGGCAGCAGCCCCGCCGCGGGACACCCCCCTCCCGGCCACCCCTCCTCTGACTTTAAACCCAGTCTCAGCCCCCACCAGGATTTAAACAAGCAGCAACCGCAGCAGCCGCCGCCTCAGCCGAGCCAGAAGAGGAAAGAGTTTAAGCAGCCGCCGCCGCTCAGCAGCCCAGCCCAGCTCGGCAGCAGCCACCCCCTGAATAACCACCACCCCCCAGACTATCATCACCACCCCCCGCAGCAGCAGCAGCAGTTCAGCCACCCCACTGACAAGTACCAGCAGCAGGAGCACAGGCAGCAGCAGCAGCAGCAGCTCCCGCTTCGCAGCGCTCGCCCCCCGGAGCCGCCGCCGCCGCCGGGGGACTACGCGCCGCGCCAGCCCCGCGGCGCCGCCGAGCCCGCCGAGCGCGGCGGAGCGGAGCGGATCGGCCCTCCGTGCGCGGCCGGAGCGGCGCCCGCCGACCCCAATGTGGGGGTGGCGGCCGCCGCCGCCTGCGTGAATCCGCCGCCGTCGCCTCCTCGCCTGCAGGCGAGAGCCGCGCTGCCCCCCATGGAGTCCCCCCCGAACAGCCACTTGCTGGGCAGCCCCGGCGCCCTGCTGCCCGGCGGCCTCGGCTCCGGCTTCAGCAGCCTGCAGAGCCCGGAGATCCCCAGCCCCCATCACCAGAGCGGGGGCGGCTCCTCCTCGGCGGCTTCCCCTCCTCCTCCGCCGCTGCCCGGCTTCGGCACCCCCTGGTCGGTGCAGACCTCGTCGCCGCCTCCGCAGCAGACGCAGCAGCCTCCGGCCTCCAGCGGCGGCGGGCAGATCAGCGCGATGCCGCCGCCCAGCCCCGAGTCGGAGACCAGCTTCTACCCGGGGATCCCGTCTTCGATCAACCCCGCTTTCTTCCAGAGCTTCTCGCCCGTGTCTCCCCACACGCCCTGCGCCGGGCCCTTCAGCAGCCCCTTCTCGGCCGCCGCGCCGCCGCCGCAGATGAATTTACCTCAGCAGCAGCAGCAGCAGCCGCCGCAGCCGCCGCAGCAGCAGCAGAACCGCCGCTCCCCGGTGAGCCCGCAGCTCCAGCACCAACACCAGGCAGCGGCGGCGGCCGCCGCCTTCCTGCAGCAGAGGAACTCCTACAACCACCACCAGGTACCGCGGCGGCCGGGCCGGGCCGGGCCGAGCGGAGCGGAGCCGGGCGGGTGAGTGGGGCCCGCGGGGCCCGCGCTTCGCGTCCCTCTCTGCGCCCCTCCTGGTCTCCCCGTCCCGCCGCCGCGGCGGGGGAGCCCCCGGGCGGCAGGAGGCGCCCGGGCCCCGCGGCTGCCCCCGGGCTGCCACGTCGAGGGGCCGGTTCGGCCCGGCCCGCGAGCCCCTTCCCTTCGGGCCGGCCGTGGCTGCTCCTCAGGGTGTCCCGCCTGCATCTGACCCGTTTTCACGCGTTTCCTGGCGTCGCCTCCCGTCCCGTCCCTCTGAAGCTGAGCCTCGTGGCGGGGGCTCGCGGACCTGGCGGCCCCGCGGGCTGGAAACGGGCCGCTCCGTGCGTGGGTGTGCGGCGGGCCCGGGCCCTCGTGCCGCGCCGCGGGGCACGGCCGCCGTGGGGGGTCACCCGTGGGGGCGGCCCCGAGGACTGCGGGGTGAATCCTGCCCGCCCCGTCCCGCCGTGCCTGGACACTCGGTGGGGCCGGCAGCGGTTCCGTCTCCGCCGTGCGCAGCGAGGCCGCAGGGCAGCAGCGCGAACCGGAGCCCGGTCCCAACCGGAGCCCGGTCCCAACCGGAGCCCGGTCCGCGTCCCGCCCGCCAGCGGGTCCGGGCATCGTGGAGACAACGAGCAGCCGGGAGGCGCGAGGGAAGCGGGCAAGTTGGTTACTTTGCGAGCAGGGATGGCGAGGAGGCGCCGCAGCTGCCGCCTCCCCGCGCCCGCGAAGGCCTCGCAGGAGGGTCCCCGTCCCGCTCCNGCTCGCCAAGGCCCGCGGCGCGCAGGCCGCCGCCTCGCCGCTCTCTTTCATTCTAGTAGCAAACGCTGTCATTTTAACAAATCCCGCATTTTTATAAAGCACCGATTTGGCTAACGCCGCACGTTGCCGCAGCGCTGGTGCGGATGCGTGGCGAGCAGGGGGCTGTCCCGGGCAGCGCTGGCACCAGGAGACGGGAATTTCCTCCCGGTGGAGGGTTGCAGGTGAACTCGGTGCCGTGACAGCGGCGCAGGCAGCGTTAGAGCCTTGTGGAGCTTTGGCATTATCGCCACGGTTTGTTTCACAACAGGGCGCCTGCCTCTCCCAAAATTCCTACCCAAGTATTCAAGTTTTACAACATAATTATCTGTAATTATATAGAATAGGATGCTTGCCCGATTACTTGACCAAAAATGGTCACAGTGGGTATTTTGTTTGTTTGCTTTGGTGGAGGGGTTATATTTTTATCTTTGTGTTTTCGGAGTTCGCCCTTATCTTATACACAGCGTATTGACGTGCTTCAGATTTTTAAGTCACTGGAGTTAGTTGCGGCTGAGCTCGGGGTGTGTTTGTGCTTCGCCTCTACAGCAGGGCGGAATTGAGAGCCTCCCCCTGCACCCCCTTTGTACGTTTAGGGGAAAAGCATTTCCAAGAGCAGCCAGGTTTTAACGCAGCAAAGACAAATATTGTTCTTTGCTGTCAGCCAGGCTCAGTGGGTCCACCTCTTGGTAGTATGACAACCACTGTAGGTCACTTTATTTAGCACAAGTTGTGTGGTAGGAATAAAAACTCTTAATCCTGTAAAATCTTTGTTCTAAAGAGAGCTTACATTTTCAGATTGGGAAGCGTGAGCTTGTTAGATACAGAAATGCTTCTCGCTCCTCCTAAATGAGAAAGAAGTCCTCCGACAGCAACAAAAGAACAGATTCTACCCTTGAAGATTTCCACAGACAGCCCTGTTCATTACTGATGAAATATTTGAGCAATAGCTCCAGAATAATGCATTATAATGTGGAAATAGTAAAGCTATTTCTTCAAACAGATTCTCTTTGTACTAGTCGGTTTGGTGGATTTTTTTTCTCTTATATGGTAATACTGAGAAAGTGACACTAAAAATATTGTAAGGAGAAAAATCTAGTGTCTGAAGAGTAATTTTCTAAATTTCCTCTCACTATTCCCATTTTCCTAAATAATAAAAAAAAGTGACCACCTCCTTAAAAAAACTTTTTTTTTTTTTTTTAAGGCAACCTATCTATAACAGTATCATACCAGTTTGATTAAATGTCTTTAACCTTTTTGTGACAGCTTTAGTTGTGGAAATGTTTTACAACATAAGTAAAAAAACAATCCTACTTAATACTAAAATGAAAATCTAAATTTGAGTGAATTTGAAATAATGAAGATCTAAAACCAAATACTGATTTTTTTTTTTAGCATATGTATGTGGGGGGAGTATGATTCTGTATTGAGTTTTCTTTCTTAACTCAGTAATTTATACATTATTAGTAAAATATCACTTATAGAAATCTGAGCATTAATTTTCCATTTTTTTTAAACTTAGCAAAAGCAGTCATATATTTTGAAAATAATGTGGATGAATCTTTCTTTTTAGCCTCTTCTGAAGCAGTCGCCCTGGAGCAATCAGAGTAGTGGTTGGAGCACAGGAAATATATCCTGGGGAGGAATGCATGGCAGAGACCATCGCAGAACTGGAAACATGGGAATTCCAGGAACTATGAACCAGATCTCTCCTTTGAAGAAGCCCTTTTCTGGTAATGTCATAGCTCCTCCTAAATTCACTCGCTCCACTCCATCATTGACACCAAAATCGTGGATTGAAGATAACGTTTTCCGAACTGACAACAACAGTAATACTCTCCTTCCCTTACAGGTAAGGATGTATGTAACTGGTGCACTTTTAAAGAACCTTGCATAGCATTTTGGCTTTATCTAACATAAAGAAACATTAAACAGTCAGTACTGTCCCGTTGTTAGGTTGGAAAAGCGCATATTTGTATATTAAGTTTGAATCCTAAATTGTAACTAACACCAATATTTTGAATGTATGTATTCATCATTGTATAATTCTTGTAGTTAACACAAAATACTGACTGTCAGAAAAGATAGGAACGTAGCTGCTGACACGGTAGTAGAGGAGCAAAATATGCTTAATCTAGCAAGTATTTTCCCAGCTCCCTAGGAAAGTGCATGTATGCTTCTAAAGCCCTCTAAGCTCAGGATTTTGTTGTGCACGTGTCCTTGTTCAGAGGTGTTGCTAAAAACTTCTGCAAACAGCTCTGAGTCTTTGTCATCTTAGTCTTTTATTAATATTCTAGTCTGACATTCACATGTTAGTGTTGTTTTTTTTTCTTTTTTTTTTCTTCCTCCCCTTTCCTTCTAGCAGCTTTTGACTCTTATATTTTGGCTGGAAGCCCTGTGATTTAGAAATATTAAACAGGAGGAAGTGTGGCTTAAAGCTTAAGAGCTGGGCTCAACTCCTCAGTTTTGCCAGTGACTTCATATGTGACTTTAGGCAAGTCACTTAACTCGGACCTCAGGTACCTGTTGGTAAAATGGTTTATTTTCTATTTCACTCTGCATTTATTTAGCCATATTATTTCTTGGCAGGAGATACCTTCTAGGTTTGAATCCCCAAATCAATAACCATTGTATCTAGCGTTTTGTTTTAATCCAAAAATCCTAGACAACTTATTTTTTAAAATGATGTATTTTAAAGTCGATAGCAGATTGTTTCCTGAATTTTGTACATTAGTTTTCCCGTATTCCTATGGCACCTTCTTTTGTCTCACACTGAGTTACAGGAAAAAGAGAAAAAGGGAGAAAATAATACAGAAGGAAAATAATAACAATGATTTTTATCTCCAGAAATGATATTACAGCTGCTTTGGTAAGGTTTCGCACTGAGTAACCTAGACTTTGGTTTGTTATGGTTGTCATGGACTCTCAACAGCTGTATTTGCATCAATAAGCAAGCTAATCTCAGTGCAGCTGTGTCAAGAAAGCTACAACAGTGGCAAAAACGTGCTCTGTAGGACCGTTTTTTTCTATGTTTTAGGCACAAATGACCATGTATCACTTTTAACCCAGTGAGCTCTACAATATACACAAGGCTGATGACGATTTTGTGCACAGCTGAATTGTACTGCCAGTGTGTCCACCAGAGCTGATCCACCAAAGCCTCTAACAGGCTTTGCATGTTCTGTGAAGACCTTTTCTATGAAGTAGCCTTGCTAATTGAAATATCATTGAATAATTTTTGCTTGGGCAAAAAGATGGAGAGAAAAAGATGACATTATTTATGTATTCGTCTTGAACTATTAAAGAAGAGATTACACATAGCTTATATTTTGCAGAAAAGAACTCCAAGAACACTTCAAATTAACATTGAGGCAATGTACAAACACATTAACCTAAAGACCTGAGTTAAAGGTACAAATGCCATCATACACTGAAGCTGCAGTGACGCATACCTTGGAATTCATATACAGTTAGGCACAAGTCTCTAATATACAAATTCGTTCAGTATGCTTTGCAGGCTGGTATGACTGTTTGGACCTTCAAGAGCTTTTACAGTTGTCATCCAGTGTAGAAGAATTTGTTTCCTGATCTGTGCAAAATCTTTTGCATTCTAGCTAGAATACTGTACAATCAAAATAATTTCTAATTCACTGTTAAGTCATACACGGTAGGGTAGAAAAAGTCCTTGAAATTGAACCCTATGATAGTTACTTTTTTTTTTTAATATAGTATCATAGAGAAATAGTGAATATGTACCATTTTTTAATTGGTCTCGTCTGTGAGCACCAGGGCAATCAATTAGAGTTATTTGTCTTTAGGTATTTGTGTTATAGATCTATCTGTGTTTAAATCTTCACAGCATATATAAAGCCAAAGTTACAGAACACAGTAAAAATATTCTGATTTAAGAACTTGCATTATTATCTCCTGCCATTGTGGAAACACAGGATGTTTCCTTAAATTATGTTGCTACGTTGAATTTGTTTTGATTTTTCAGTTGCCATCCTATCATTAAACGGTTAATTCCTTGTGACTGCTATATTTTAAGAGTCACAGGGAAGAAGTTGAGATGGAGTTTAGAGCTCATGCTTCTTTTCATCAGGACTTAGGTTGGCAATTGCAATGCTGTCAAACACCCATCTAGTTAATTCATACTGTGCTTTCTCCTTCCATAAAAGGTTGAGGTATTTAGATTGAGGATTCTTAAAGATACAGTAGCGATTTCAGAAGAAATTCAAGAATACTGGTCATTACAGTTGGGCAGTTTAAAAGTCTTATTTGAAAGCATTTATGTGTACGTGGAAATTGGCTTTTTCTTTCAGGGCTTCCACGGAGTGATCACATCTTAGCATGTCTATAGGCCATGTATGCAGCATTCCCGGGCTTGCAGATTTCTTTTCCATGTGATCACAAATTGTTGTTTTAAAATGCAGTAGTTATTTTGTACGGGATATGCTACAGCACTCGTCCTCCAACCTTCAACTGTTTCGAGTTTAGAAAATGGGAACAGTACAGTGCCCTCACTGACTAGCTTTCTGCAGGTCATTAATACTCTGCTAACTAATTTTGAAATTCATGTGTTTTTTGCAAAAAAGCCTGAATGACATTCAACACAATGATCTGCCCAACCAGATGCTCTAAAACATGTACCTGATGTAAACAAGAGACAGAGGCATCACGCTCAAATTCAGAGCTTTTCTATCCCTTTGCAGCTTTATCCGTGGTGTTCGCACTGATGGCTGGTCCACAATATAGAACTGACATTAACTCTGGTGAAAATAATATTGCTTGGTGTTAAACTAATCTACCAGTAACAATAAATGCCATTGCTGATAAGAGTAAGTCATTATGTGGGTTGCTTGAAAGGATGAAAGCAGATTTTGTTCTTTACAGTTAAAACTGAAACATACCCCTCTGAAGTTGTGCTCACAGTGGCCACGTTAGCAGCAGTAAAGCTGCTTTTGCTTTTATCGGTTCTGAAGGACATCTTTCAGAGGAATCTTCCAGAGCACAAGATTTCTTTTTTTCTTTTTGAATAAAGTTAAACACACGTCATGGCAATACCAGTTTAATTGTGAGCAGAGGCAAGCCAATAGTCAAATTTTACTTGTGTGAATATTTGTAGGAGACTTTTTTCCCCTTTAGGTCTTTAGGACGGCAAACATGATTAAAGCCCCTTTATAGACGAAACTGTATGTACAAGTTTTATCTGTGCCATACTGCTTCTGTCCTTATAGATGTTTAATTTAAGCAAGTATAGCTTTTTACTGGAAACATTAAGGAATAGTTAAATCATGGCAGACGTTCGCACCATCTAACTTAAGAATTTAATACAAGAGCCTATTTCACTGACCTTAGAATCTAGGCTTCTTATTTAGATAATCTCATACTTTAGAAGAACGTACCTGTCACAACTGACCTTACGCAGTCCCTAATCTTCCAGCTAGGCACTTAAATTACCCATCAAGAAATCAGACAAGCTGTGTATTGTTCTCTTCTATTCCATGATCTCAAGTAATGAATAAATAAATAGAGAGCATACAGCGAAAAGATAAAAATACATTTCTAATCCTAGATACAGATCTCTCCATTCATTTCCAAAAAACTTGCTTTAGGCATTTCCATGACCAAAACAAAGTGGGGAAGTCATTGTTTTATATATTCATGTTTTTTCATTAACATGCTTTGGATGAGGGAAATAATTAACCATTTCTAATATATTCTTAAATTGCAGTGACTGCTAAACCTATTTGAATTTTGATTACTAAGTTTAATGTTCTTATCATCTTGCAAACTAGTATATTAAAAGCTACTGTAACACCTTAATAATAAGGTTCAGTATTTAACTGTATTTTCATTCTAGTGAAACACACTACCTTCTATTAAAACAAATATGAATTTCGTTTCTGGGTTTCTTTTGAGTTCAGGAAATACATTGCATGTCCGGGTGTTTTTCACCTTGATTTGTCCTTCCTGTTTGTTCAAACAAACAGTACGCACAATGTCTGCCCTTCTAAAGGCTCAGCTTTATTTTTCTGTATTGGAACATAGGCCTCCGGCTGGTGACTTGCACAGGAAGGCACAATCTCTTAGAAATATATATTTTTTTTCTGCTTATTTTTGAAATGGCACTAAAGCTTCCAACTAAAACAAAACACTTCCAAAATGAAACATGAGTTTTTAAAACTAACATATGTTGCGAAGCAGAATTTTAAGTATTTAATCTAAACTGCTGTCATGTTGTTACAGGCAGTGCCATTCAGAGAATTTTGGATTCTCAAGATACTGTTTTTAAGGCAGTTTAATAAACGTGTCTTTAAATATTTTAAATGACTAATCTAGCTGATAAACATACCAACCAAGACTGCAAGGAGAGTAAGTTGCTAAAGTTAAGTTCTTAATGCCATATTTAGACACCTAAATAGGTGGCCTGTTTTTTTCCAGAAGTGCTGAGTGCTTGGCAGCTCATGCTAAACTTGAAGATTGGAAGTATCTAGTTGCTAAGTGCCCTTAGTCGTGAGATTTATTTAGTTGCCCAAACACTGAATTATAAGCTAGGTTGCACCAGTTCATTTTACTGATAGAGTATCTGCAGCAGAGCAGTGTCTTCAGGTTGTCTAATGTAGATTATGTGAGACTGGTTACGTATGATGAAAGCAACGAATTGGTTGAAATTTGGTGTGGAGGGGTGGTTTTACGATACAAATGTCTCAATGACTCTTTTTTTTTTGAACTAAGAATTCTCACCTAACCTTAAAATATGCTTTGGATGTGCTGTTTGCTCTCTAACACAAGCCAGGATTAGAGTGAAAAAAATCAATAGAATATTTTCAGCCGGGCTAGTAGAGCAAC